TACAGTGGGGCTGCTCCCGTACTGCAAGGGTTAATTGTTTGTTTTTTGCCTAGGGTAAAAAAAAAGTTATACTCACCTAAACCTCAGAACCGGTAGCACTCCCTCCAGCCTGTCTCCTCCTTCGAAGCAGCAATGATATGTCTCTTGGCATCCTCGCATCCTATACACAGCACTGGATGTGATGACTCGAGGATCCTTAGACCGTTGCAGCGGAGGGGGAGAGACACTGGAAGAACTGGTCTAAGAGCCGGCCGGCTCGGAAACTCAGCGTATAACTTTTTTTTTTACCCTGGGCAAAATTGAGCAGGTAACCCTTGCCGATGCAGGGTTTTCCCCACTGCAAGAGTTAATAAAATGTCATCCAGGATTTGTTCTTTAATTTCGCTACACAAAAAATGGATATTTGTGTTTATTTATTTTCACATCACTGTACTTCGCCAAACATGATAGTAAATCAAGTGATGTTTTTTGAAACGTATAATATATTTTAATGCGATCGCTTTCAGTAAATGCTTATTCTTGCCTGCTCTTGTTAAATAAGTGATTCAGAGACTTGCTAACTGTACTGATATGACATTAGCAAAGAGGTGTAGACATTTGCAGTTACTGAGCTTGCATGCATTTGTTTTCTCTCCTCTGATTAGGGAGTGACACTCAAAAGCAGCAGATTGTATCACTAGCAACTGGCAACTACACAATTTGCAGTAAATGTAGCTTTAAATCACCGGATCTGCCTTTGTCATTACCACCCACATATACACGCCCGGCTGACTGTACTGTAGCTTCCTGTTACATAAAAACACAGAGGAAAAATGTCACAGGCAGGCCTTTGCAGCGAGTCTGAGCCTGGAAACTTCTGCTGTTCCCTGTAAGTTGTCCGTGCGGCCCTCACCATCATATGGTAAGCAGTATAGTATAGACTAACCTCTCTAGTGTCATCAGGGGCTTGTAGCTGTCAAAATGATAGCTTGGCTATGCAGAAAAACAATATCACTACAACATGTAGCGAGCAAAGTTTTATAAACAAAGGCTTTTCTGACATTTCAACCTTTACTCCTCATTCTTTATACACAACCGGAGAACATTTCATGGTGAAGAAAGCAGATTTATGGTTTATGACGTTGTATGATTTTTCATTGTATGTGTTTTTATAACTTTGTTTTTATGTGTTTGTGTTAAATCCATCTTTGCTTGTTTTGAAGTTTGAATTGCTCTTTTTGTTTAAATACATATCATACACACCATCGCAAATGCATGTTAGTTTGCTGTGATCCTCTTTTTTTTTGGCAAAACAACATTTAGAATTGTAAATTTATACAAATCCTATACAAACATTTATACGAATCCTATGCAACCACAAAGGAACACATAGAACATGTATCTTCTGTAATTTGTATCTATATGGAGGAGCTTTTTCAGGGAACTGTTTTATTATACTGGGTATAATGAGTGAAATGTATCAGAACTGGAACAGACAGAATATGGAGCAGTTACCCATATTTACCAATCAGCTTCTCTCTCCAATTGGTTCAGTTAATTTTTGAAAATGAAAGATAGAAGCTGATTGGCTGCTATGGGCAACTGCCCCAGATTCTGTTTGCTCCAGGTTTGATAAATTCCCCTCAAAGTGTGCTTTATTTGTTTCACTGTGTTACAAGGCATCCCTCGTTGAAATTAGTAAAAAGTAATCTTTCTGTAACATTGCGTGGGAAATATCTGGCTTATAATACAATGCAGAAGAATTCTAGAACAGTGATACGCAGTGTGAAAACACTGGTAGCGCCCTATTATTTCTTGTATTGTAATGTCCCCTCTTTGGTGCTCGCTGATAAAGTGGAAATTCAGCCAAAATGTTGTTTCAGTTTGGGATGGAGCAGTGAAAGGTTTAAAACGTTGTCAGGTTTCTGTAAGTGAGATTTCTCTGCACTTCCTGTTCCCATAGACACAACAGGAGGTAAGTGGAAGTCTACCCAAAATGAGGGGTATTGCAGTAGTCACTAGAAAAGATGTCCCTACGGAGAGCTATCCACTTTGCCTCTGTTTTGAGGCACACCCTCTCAATATTTCTGCTAGTGAACTGGTCACCAGGACAAATAGTTAACTGAGATCTCTCTAACAATGACAAGATAGCCATAGAAACCAGACAAACTAGACTCTGTCCAAAACTAGAAGATCACTGTTTGGCTGGAGTACTACTTTAAGACTGGTGATATATTTTAGTACGTCATTGAAAATTAATGTCTTCTTAACAGTTAGAATAACACCTAGAGGTAAAGTACTGCCCATACCTAATGTTCCACCCTTCCTAATCAGTTCTGATGCATCTCTATAAAGTTATATTTGGCCCTCTTGTGTTGCCACAAGCTCTCCTTGCAGGGCTCTGAAAATACAGTATATGCCCTCCAATATGTTAAGCAGTGATGCACAACCTCTTCTTTGAAGTTGGCTTTAGAAACTGCTATGTACCATTTTTTTTGACCTGTGTTATTAGCTGCCACTTGAAATCAGATTGTCTATCCCCATTCTCTAATTCAGAGGTAGTCGACCTTGGCACTCCATCTGCTGTGATACTATGGGGTTGATTTACTAACCTTATAAACACACCACGAACATGTATACACCTCTGTAGTGTGTTCCCTCCCAGCATGATCTATGGGTGGAATCTAAACACCTTTGTAGTGTGTACACACCCAGCAGTTGTGTTGTGCAAAGCCCTGCATGAATTACAAGGTGATGTTGTGTAAATTAGCTCTATGTTGTGTTGCTTGCGTTGATGAATGCAGGAATGTAAATGCATGAGCTAACCATTTTTGTCTAAACTGTGAAGCAGCATTGCTTTTAGAGACTTTTTGGTTGATAAATACGTTTTGCTGTGTGAAAATCACACGCACCTGCTGCGTGCGTGTGTTTAGGTTAGTAAATCACCCCCTATAAGTCACATAAAGCATTGCAAGACTCTGACAGTTCCAGGCATGACTTCCAAAGGCACTGATGGACAGAGACTTGTATTTGACTTGGAAGCACATCCTGTGCTGCCTTTGTGCTGTTCTATTTCATGTGTGGTTGGCTTCTTTCCTTCTTTGGTTCAGAGAGCCATGGACCTCTCCTAGGATGCTTGTAGTTTGTTGCTGTAATTTTAAAGTCCAGGGATTGTTTCCATCTAGCAGCAATAAACTCTTGTGGTAACAAACAGTATTTCTCAATGCAACGCAGCTTCTTTTTTCATGTTAACTGACCTCATAACTTCAATAATGAGCCCTATAACCATTAAGAAAAGCAGAAGTCAAACCACATTTCTAGGAGATTGAAATGTTAACTATAAATAACATTTAGTTTCCATTACCAGTTCTATTTACTAACGACTTTGCTTTTAATAAGAGTTCTTGCATTAGTCAAGGGACATGTGCTTGCACTGTGGTGGTACAAACACTGTGGTGTTAAATACCGGGCCTCTATGTTTATACCATCTAAAGTACGAACATATTGCTGCAATGCTGATATGATCTACTTACACTTTGACAATAGTATCAAAAGATGTAATCAAGAGTAGGGGCAATGGTGTATAGTAATTAGTGACATTTAGGGGAGTATGGCAGTCAACTTGAAATCAATTATCAGCTACTTAAACCAAAACTACAGCCAGTAAAAATGAATAACCTTTCTAAAGATAAAACAACAAAACCAGCTTTTGCTGCAATATTCACCTTCAATCCACAGACTTCTGCCACTAGATGTCCTCAGTCTCATGGTCAGCATCATATAACCCTCTCCCTCTTCCTGAACCCGCACCAGCTTTTGAAAGTGCCAGGAAAAGCAGCACAGTGATGAACTCATCTCTTTGTCCCTCTGCTTTCTCCTCCAGTCAGCATTGTTTTTTGTCAGCACATGAACTGATTGGTTCCTTATGCTGTGCTGCTAATTCCTCTAACATTCTAGCCATGCTGGACAGGGACTGCAATAACCTAATACCAGGTCATATTTAGGTACTTAGGCCGATTTCACTCGGGCGGCCCGATTGGGTCCACTTGTCAGTTTTTCAAGTGAACCCAATTGGATGCCAAATGCTAGTCTATGAGCAGCTGATGGGCATCTGTTTACACCCGGTTATCCCCGACTCAGGCCAGGTCTGGAAAAACAAACGGATCAGAGATCCATTTTGCCAGACCTGATAACCGGATCCACTTGTTTTTCTGGACCTGGCCAGAGTCGGGGATAACAGTATGTAAATGGAACCCCATCTGTCTACACCCAGCTGCCCATAAACTAGCTCTGATCAGCCTTTGTGAAAGGGCCCTACACTGCTTACATTTACAAATTATATTTAATCATGTATTTTTCTACATTAATTTGTGTCTTTTATATCTGCTCAGGATTTAGCTTTTAAGAGTATTGACTATTAAAAGTTAATTGTTTGATTTTAATTACTGCACCCCAATTCTGTTTTCACTAAATTATTACATGCGATCACAAATTGGTCTATATGTCCAGACATCCTATATCATTTTCGGTATTCTAAAACTTTAAAATGAAAAATGCTGATAGTTGTGAAAAATTGTAAAGTTCATCCTGCTTTAGCTTCCAATCTAACCATACGTCATTTGCAGATAAGAGTCACCTTGGCGTTGTTTTTATGAAATTCCTTTTTTTTAAACTTGTATTTGTAAATGCCAGTCTTATCGTGACTTTTTTTTTTGGTTCATTTTTACTAGAAAAATAGTTTACAAACTAAATGTAATTGATCATTAACCTCAGTGAAAAGTTCTTGAGCTAATATAATGAGAGGAAGTAAGGTATGGCATGTTGCAGTTAATATCACTGTTAAAAGTAACGAAAGTTAATTATTGATTTTGTGTTTGCAGTTGAAACTGGAGGTCATCACAGCATATTAGACTGAAGAACTCAGTATGGATAGTCTTCCATATGAATTCAACCATCATCTGGATATTTCAACCTGGGATGAGCCCAGTAGGTTAAATGGGAAAGTAACTCAACAGAACAGAACAACAGTGAGACATGGGGACTCATATGACTCTGGCTTTCAAAGCCTAAACTGTGTTCCTTCCAGAGGAAATACTCACAAGGGCAAAGGTGATTGGTCACCCGAAAAATCAAGTTCTCCTGAAGTTGTGGATCAGTCAGAGATGCAGATGAGAGTGGACTTCTTTCGAAAACTAGGTTATTCCTCAGAAGAAATTTATTCAGTTCTGCAGAATCTTGGTATTGATGCAGATACGAACACTGTGCTGGGAGAGCTAGTAAAGCACGGAGGAAACCCGGAAAGGGAGGCTGTGCCCGAGGAGACCACAGATCTTACTTTAATCCCTCGAGGTGGTTTGGGGACAAGGTCAACCACAGCTTCAACTGAGGAGAGTGGCAGTAACAACCTAAGGCCCATTGTTATTGATGGAAGCAACGTTGCCATGAGGTTTGTTATATATCTTATTTGTTTAATGGGGGGGTCGTAAGAACAAAATGTCCTTCACGGAAGCTCTGGATAGCTTATTTAGTGACAATCTGTCTTGCTTGTTATAATGTTATTCTGTTACCTAAGCTACTGAAGAACTGTGGTGAACTCAATATTAGGTGACTCATGCATTTACCTATGCAAATATGATACGCACATTAATTCTGGGAATTACGGAAATCCACTACAGGTTTTATTTCACAAGGGAGTGTATACATATGTGCATACATGACACAGGAAAAGGGTAAAACAGGTCATCAATCCTTTGAACATATTAGAACTTAAAAAACAATTTGTAAAATGTAGCAACATACCACAACACAGATAATCTTTCATTGTTCATACTGCTGTAAAGTAACCCACAAGCTCAGCAACTCAAATTTAGGTCAGAAATACAGAAATGCAATCTACAGTGCATTAAAAAGTGTTTCATCTTTAATGATGAAAAACACTCATAAGAGACCACTTGAAATAGCGCATGCAGTATACCCAAAAAATCACCAGGAGCCAGGGAAAAGGGTTTTTTTATTGGCAAAAGAGATTCTGCATGGTTCTCTTGTTAAAAATAAAAACTTTACGTTCTGGTGTTTTTTGTGTTTGGGGATTTTAGTTCCACTTTAGGACTCACCATTTGGATTCAATTTTCCCCCCTGAAGCACAATATGTGTCACTGACAGGAACAAGCATGTGACCAGAGAAATTTAAACCATAATTCCGATGTTCCACATGTGCTTCAATGTCAGCTCCCATATTTTTGTCCCTACAGGTTTCTTGTAATTCTGGGTTTCAATATTACTTAAATTGGGGGTTTTGCAAACATTATAATCGTCACTTACCGCTGACTTTTTGGCCCAACTAAGTGGGTCAGTAAGCCTAATGTGTCTTGTACGACAAACAGTAAGCAGCACAATACCAGTTTGTAAAATTATATGCAAACTAATAATGTTTAGACTATGTTGGTTTGTGTAGTTTAAAAGCAGGACTCGCTGCTGAATCATTTCCTGTTCTAGATTGGGTTTGCTAGCTGATTTTGAAACCTATTTCAGAGACATTTACTGTGCAAGACCCATATTTGAATAGTAAAACTATAGCATTTATAGTATGTTTCTTTTGAGATTTTTTCAAGGGTTTGCTTTTAACATAAGAGTTTAAGAATGTACTGTATACATACCAACAAAAGTAATAGGATGTTTTTAGCCTTGGACTGAAAGGAAAAGGTTTAGATCCTGAGTCAAGGTTTTACTGCCATGCATCCCTTGAGGAGACTTCCCCTTGAGGAGACCCTCTGTCCTGGTAATAGCTTTTAAAGTATACAGTTTTCAGAGGAGAAGTGGAGGGGAAATCTCCTAATGGGGACACCTTCTCCTGTGACAGCTGTCAATGGTGGGATTTCCCCTCTTTAGAAATCTCTTCTCATGCTTTTTGTCAAGTCTACAGGACAGCAGATGAGGGAAATTCTCCCAAAAGGGACAGGGGGACCCACACAGCAATATCAACTTGATGCCCCTGCCCTTTTTATCCCAACATAATATGTATAATATTTTCTTGATAGACCAGAAGCAGGAGCTGGGAGGTGGAGCTGCAGAAGAGTATGGAAGAAGATACTCTTCCATCCTCCTGTAATACTGGGGGTAGAAACACATTTAGCATCACTGGTTGCTAGTACTGCCCGGAGGTCCTGATAACAATGAATACAGAGGAGGAGGAGCCCTGACATCATTGGTTGCTAGGACACTACCAGTCCAAGTATCCAAGGACTAAGAGGACCGCAGTCCGGACACGGACTGATAACCGATCTGTGTTGGGCTATGGCTTGGAGTTGATGCCTTAGAGGCTGCCCCATCCACTGTCAGCCAGCCATGAATGAGCACTGGTCTGCGGTCAGTCCTTGTCCAGGCCATGGGCTGGAGAGGCACAGACAAAGGGCCGATTAAGGGAGATGTATAATACCTCTCTGCTTTAAAGTCCAAAATTGGTCTTATTACCAAAACATCTAATTCAGTAAAGCACTGTAAAGAACAGTTTTGCTATTTAATATCATGTTATATGGAGTAAGCAGAATTGACCAATCAACATCTTTTAATTTATATGAAAAGGTTGCTATCTGAGAGGTTGCTGTAGGCTACTTTACAACATTTCTCTTTGCATTTGCTTTAGCAAAAAGCTTACATCTGATCTGCTTGTGTTCCTAAGCTTTTCTTCCTTTTCCAGTGAAGGTTTGACATTTTTTTCTAAAATGAGACTGGATTGTGGAATAATCTATAATCTTTTTGGCTGTGCATTTACACTCTTTGGGGATAAAGGTCTCTGTCAATCGATTAAATATATATGCAAGATGAGGAAGTCAGCTTCACATATTGTGTTTGAATACTAGAATCCTGTTTATTGTATCCAGTCAAAGAAAGATGTTTGAAGACTGTGCGGAACAAGTACAAAGTTTAATCTGGTGTCAGGTGTACAGCAGGGAATTTCCACTTTTCTACTTCCTGTATTATCTGCTAGTACGACATTGTTCTCTACTGATTCACATGAACAAAGTCCTACCTGCCTGAACAGCTCACTACCAACATTATGCAAATGTAGTTTATGTAAATATACCCATTCTTTCCTCCTCCTGGGAATTTCTCAGCATTTGCAAAATTCGTACCTCCTTTTTAAAGTGTTCACACCTTTCAGCCTAAGGCAAATTTTACAGATAGTTGGATGGCTAGTGAGGATTTATATATTTGCTTTAAATATCTCTCAAGAAGGAAACAAATATTATATATATATATATATATATCTATATCTA